AACGAAAGAACAAAGCATTACCCTGTTATCCAGACTCAAGCCCACATAATATCCATTTGTTGTGCTGAAACCAGTGGTACTTCACAGTGCATCTGAAGTTTTGTAGGGCTATCAGTCCAATCTGTATTCTAAACTGTAACTCCTTTGCTTATTGTGCTTTGCATATGGGATTGTCAAGACAAAGTTCATGAAAAAGCCCTTGAATCTATGGACCAAAAAGATTGAGGACAGAATATTCATGAATATTCTGATTTCTGTGACCAACCTAAAAGGTTCCACATAATGGAGGTCACAAAGAACAGAATTAAGATGTAAATGAAAAATGAAAACAGACATCTTGAACGTCCACGGAAATTCTCCTTGCTCCAGGCAGACTACGACTGACATCTGAAACCTGCAGAAGAGACTAGGACATTGAGTAAAACAGATTCAGGATGGAGCTCATCATCTTGTTTTGTCTGAGTACTGTACCCAAGTATTAACAAAAACCTTAGAAACTTTCCCAGGGTGGTACAAGTACCAACATTTTATGAAAAACAAAAACAGAAGGCGCTGATATCCATTGAAGGGGTTGAGAGGTATGTAAAAGCAAAAACATGATGTGGAAGAGGAGTAGTAATTCTATCTTGTAACAGAACAATAAACCTAAGAATTTGACAATGTTGTGGAACCAGAAACATCAACAACTTTCCACCTACCCTGTTCACCTTTATGCTGTGGAGGGCTTGTTAAAAGGACGTGAAAAAGTCTAGTGGACTAGGCGGACTGTTGCCTGAGTTAAGATCTGCACATCAATACTTGAGCCAATAGACTCTTCTCAATGTCACAGAGCTGATGTGGGCAATTACCGAAATGTCATTCCGGTAGGCATTACAAGATCTACTTGCCCCCCCCCCCCCCCCCCGAATCAACTGGTCTGCCATATTATTCAGGTATTCAGATGAACCTGCAGATGTTAGGGCTAATACAGAATGCAGGAATCTCGCTCACTCGCTCACATCCTGGGACACCCTGGTACAGCTGAAAACTTTTATTAGAGTAGAACCAGCTGCCCAAAGAGACCATGGCCAAGCCCCACTTTTTTGTCCACTAGGTAATTAAAAGGCCTTGTTATGGCTAGACACAAGCACTAACAGTGGTATTGTCCCCTTATTTACTAATTCCTCACAGAATAGAGAGCGCCAAGGTGGTCTGGAGCCAGATATTTTAATGCTCTTTAGATATTATCAAACTGTTGAGTTCATTCGCATATATGCAGTGATGCCAATTTACATCAGTGATGCTTTATCTGTTTTTTGTTGCATCAATGTGGGTTTTAGGGCCTACAGAGGTCAATGGCAGCACAAGAAAATGCACTGTTTGAGAACCCACAACAATGCATTAAAACACACATGAAAAGTTGTGAGTCAAGTCTGAAGGTTTGAAAACCAGCTGTTTGTTCACACCATTTTCAGAGGTGGAAGATTCCTCAATCCTTTATATCCTGGTGTTGAAAACATTTATCCTCTGAAAATTCTACCTCACTGAAAAGGAGTTTAAACATGAACCATGCCCAGGAACCCATGTGAGATAATTTGCTTTGGATCAGACTCAGCAGATGGTTTAGAGCATAGGGATCACTATAGGATCCTCTATGGCCAAGGCTGCAGCTAGATTCGAAGACTCCAGCTTCTAAACAAAAGGGTGACTGACTGTTGCCATGAATCTCTAAATGGTCGTCTTGTGTGACACTAGGTAACAGAACCTCTGCTGCAGTCAAACTCTAGATCCAGGGTCTGATAGGACACCAAGCTACAGGTCAGCTGTTGGGGTGCATTTCCAGGATCTGAGGTCAAGTATGTCAATCACACAAGATATCGCTTCAACGTCTGTTTTCAGGGTTCTGTAATTTTTCAGATTTACATAAAAATTCTCTTTTGCTTTTCAGGAGTAAACATCATAATTTTTCTTGCGGGAACATCTCTCGAATGCCATTGCACATGCAGTCTTCTGATTTAATAGGGAAATAGATACGGTTGTTGTAAATTTGGACAATGAACACATTTTTGATTATAGCATACAAACTATTTCTCATTTGCTAGGAAGGTTAGAAAGCATGTGCATGTGTGTTGTATCCCTATTTTTAGTACTATGTCTATCCTGTATTGATTTCCTAATACCGTAAGTAGTTTGTATATGCAGCATTCTTGTCTAGTAAAAGTACATTAATATATTAGAGTTTTTTGGGTTACTTGTTTTACCACACAGTAGCTGAAAAGGTTCAAGCAAAACAAAGTCTTGATCCAGCACAGCTAGAGAGAGACATCCTGTCTTTTATAGACTATGTACTCTGACATGCTTCAGACGACGTTCTATAGGATGAAACGTGTAAGAGTGGAGGTTATGCGGTGAGGTCATCACACCAGCTTGGGTGAGTGACCATGTTTTAGCAAGCTGTGTATTTTCCACATTTGTGAGTATATACTCTTGCTTTCGAATAAACATGGAGTGAGAATTAATATACTATGTGGCTTCTTCAGTTCATTCTCTGCATCTGAGAACGTATTACAAGGCTTGTGGTTATTATTACTATATATAGAGGAGAGAGTCATTCATTCTGCCTGGGAACAGTATAAGGAGTTATGGTGACCTGTTATGGTTTGTTGCCATTACCACTGTATAGAAAAGATACAGCCATTCATTCTGCCTGGGATCAGTATAAAGCTTTGCATGACCTCATCAGTGACGAGGTCGTGTTTTCTTGTAAGCAAATCAGCTGGGCGGTGGCTCCAGTACTGGATGTAGTAAAAGTTTTAAGAGTGCATTTATCATAGCGGACTTTTCTATATGCATGATTTATTCTGGAACTTTCATTCACAAGTTTATATATATTTTTGAATTAGCATGTGATTATGGATTTTGTTCTATAAACAGCACAACATGTTTTTCTGTACATAGTTTAGTTTGATATTGGGGCATTCAAATATTTCCTGAGTGCTGCAGTAGGTTTGCACATATGTAGCAATTCAAAAGGTGGTTCATTAATACTTCATCTATCACAAACTAATTTAAAAAATGGTCTACTGGATACACACTTTAATCTTAACTTAGAGAAAAGTTTAGGCCTCGAGCATGAATGTGATGTCAGAAGTTTGCAGGCAGCACACAACCTAGAGTTAAACATTCAATAGTATCAATACTTTAAAAGACAGGTACACATTAGCAGCCATTTTGTTAACCTGAAAAAATAACAAAAATTACACTTTACCAAGCACTGCGTATAACCAAAACAGGTGTTTTCTGATGTGTAGATCGGATGTGAGTAAAAGTTTTAAAAGCATCTTCAGCTGTCCACTACGTTATTTCTACACCACAAGTAAAAGGTCAGAGACAATAAATGAAAATGAGTAAACTAAACAATGTAATCATCTTTATTCACCAGTAAAATTAAAAAACAATATTTTCATTAGATTGGCATATGCTTTAAAAGCTCTAAAAGGATCATTAGTACATGTACCAATAATCACCAGCTCCAGTGACTAAGTGCTCTTAAACATACCATGTTCATGGAGCATTGGTGGAAGTGCTTTCTACCGGAACCTGGCCTATACTCCATGAATGACAGAAAGCACTGTTCTTTTCTAGTTGCCACTCTTCTACTCATTTATCAAGGACAGGTACACAACCTTGCTACTTTGAATGCTGTGTCATTGCACAGTATGGGGAAGCAAAATCCCAGCATATTGACAAGAATGCATGATCCACATACAAGATGATAGCTAGTTAAATACCTATAGTAATTTTATAATATAACAGGCATCTTCTGGTACAAGGTCCTTAATTTATTTGAAATAATAAATGTCTCTAGTCTGAAAAGCCTAATGAATAGAAATATTTTTCAAAATGTCTCACACATAGCAAGGGTATATGCCCAGGAATTAAATGTATTAGAAAATAACATCACAGCATTTGAAATGATCACAAACAAATAATCATTTTTAGTAATTAGGGAAGACAAGTACAATGGTGGTCCCTAAAGAGACTTCCAGAGTTTATGAATGGTCCCACTGTAAGCATATATAACAAAAATGACAGGATTCATTCTAAACAATATAATTTCAAAAGTTGGAACAAAAATGTTTAATACACAATGGTAGCCTCTGTGGCCCACTAATTGTGCTTCTGGTCCTCACGTTACAAAGCTTCCAATGTAATGAGTACATTACATGGAGGAATATGTTCTTCACACAAAAACTGTGACATGCTTTGACAAACAATCTACAGTACATGCAGAACACGTCACTCAGGATACTTGCACGCTCTCAGAACGTGCCTCCCATATTAATTTAATTTGTGCTGTATTCTCCACTAACCAGATAGCATGTACCCAAACTTAGGCAACAAAGTTCAGATTTACAGGATTAGCAAGTACTGGCGTCAGTTAACAAAAAATGCCTGCATTTGTTTAATGTTTCATAATGTGATCAGAGAAGTCAGTAGGTGCAACATATATGTTGCAGGGCATTTAGAAGTAATGTATGGCAGCTCATGAACAAGAATGCTTGCTGAGCATTGTAGATAAATGGGAAAACGAAGGTCTAAATGGTGTTTAGCTGAAGACATACTTGCAAACCTTTTTGGAATTTGCATTTGAAACAGTACCAGCTTAACATAAATACAATTTAAGGTTCAGATACCTGTCTGAAAATAGTCTCTGTCCACTCTAGTGCTACAGTGCACAAAACAGAATCCATAATAAAAGTTTTAACAGCAGCCAATTTTACGTGCAATCTTACCACTTCTATCCTACTCCATAAAACAGTGCTCCTTTTCACAGTAATTGAAGAGAAAATGTGTATCCATTTGTTAAGAAAATATATATATGAATATTACATACAATATATTTCGGATTGTACACTGCACCTTGGAAAGAAATTCTTTCAGGGTAGAGTGAGAATTGTTGATGCCTTTAGATCTTCTCACACAAAATGGCTTCCATCCTCATGAGCACATTGTGGTTCTTAATTGCGGGCCGCTATTACAACTGAAAGGGCTACACCCCCTATTGCGATGGCTGTTGCCCCAAAAAGCCACTTCCAGGAGATTGACTGTGAGAAGAAAAAAAAAACAGTAGAATACTTTAAAAACTTACAGGTTTCATCTGGAGCTCATGATAGCACTCTATTAACATACCATTTATATTAGCCCCCATTATTTAGTTTTTTTTTATTATTATTATTATTATAAGAAGAAAAACGGTCCGTTTTTTTTTTTTCTTGTCCCAAAGACTTAAGTGGCAATAAATCTCTCCAAATTGACAGAGGACCCATCTCCGACTGCTGTCACTGGAACACATGTCCCCTTTGAGTGATTTCCCCTCACTTACTGCTCAGTTGAGAACAAAATGTTGAATTTCAATTCCCTTTCTATTTTTGTGAGAAAGGTCACTAATAGGACAGCAAATGAATGCTTGGAACAAGAAAATGCAGAAGACAATTAAAAACTGACAAAACAGAAAGATTTTAATCCTCCACAAAAAAAAACCAAAAAAAAAACCATCAAGTACATTACCTGCTTAGAAGGGAAATGTCTGGTAAACACAATTAAAATAATACTTTTCAACCTATTGACATGATATTTCGTGCCTGTTGGTCAAGATTAGAATAAGGCCTCCAGTAGCAGTGCTTTGACAAACAGATGTTTCATTCTGCTCCTCAGTTTCTAATAAAAACTGTAGTACTTGATTTGAGAACTACACACATCCACCCAGCACCAATGAAGAAAACATGATTTTCTCTTCACAGTTACCACTGTGACAAAAATCCAGAAATGCTGATCGAGCACTGATAACTATATTGCGCCTTGGTGTCTGCCACTAATGTTCCTTTCAAATGCCTTTGTGCTATGGAAGCTAAAAGTGAACACATAACAAAAGCATACAGAGCATGAAGACACTGTAGAGGCACTTGGGTATACTTGGCATATATCTAAAGTATCTTTATATTTACAAAAAAAAAAAAACACAAAAAAAAAAAAACTTAGCACATATGCTGTTTATCAGCCCAAAATTCAAGCGCTGCTCATAGGCTAAAGCTTGACAATGTTACATTATAGCATTCTGACAACAGCTATCAAATTAAAAGCAATTTATATTTTCTATATCAAACAGAGCTGAAAAAGTGACTATAAAGTTTGGGATTCAACAGAATATTGACATGGGACATAACTTGAAAGCGATACCAAAATGTCAGTTTCTAAAATTAACATACCTTTTTTTGTGCGTTTCTGTCCATAATATACATTTATCATACTGACTCTTCATTTCAATTATCACATTTTCATTGTAACAAGTGAAAAGACTTGGCAAATTTTGTAAGAAAAAATTATTTTACACAATATTTTGATTGTAAAATATTCAATAGGAACAGAAATTCTTTAAAGTGGAGCTTTAGTCAAAAAATTAAGTCCAGCTAGCTCACTTCAGACTGGCCCCTTTTGCAAGTAAAGCTATGTAAAACATTAAAAATAAGTTCCTACAGTATACTGTTTAAAATACAGTAATACACTTCCCCACCTTGGTCTGCACATGTTTAGTTGCTCTCTATTTTTAGGCACTGTTTCGAATTTTTAGAGGTCGATCTGCTAACAGCCTAAAGATTTCCTTCTGCTCAGGGGCTCTGGGCTTCAGTAAAATGGCAGCCTCCAGCAAGAAGAAACAGGAGCAATGCTGGAGGCAATTTACAGCATACACTCATTTTGATAGCATAAATATTAATGTGGAATGTATGTTTCTTGCTAAAGAAAATTATTTTGTATCAAATTGTAATGGGTAAAACTCCACTTTAAGGTGGATAGTGTTAGAATTGCTCATGTCTTATGATATTTTCAGTAGACAAATAAAGCTTCCATTCTTATTAGCCTATGGCTAGGTTCACACTAGTGCAGTGCATTTTTATCCAATTTTTGATGTGATTTTAAAGTGGAGCTGCAGTACAACATGGTGCATTTTTGATACGTTTTGAATAAGTGTTTTATTACTACGATTAATCCCTGCTGTCAACCAGCAGGAATGAGTCATTGGTTGTCAAGGAGCCCTCGCCAGCTGGCATCCTAACAATGCCGAGTCATCCCTGCTGCCAGCAGGGGACTCCCCTCTGGCACCAAAATGTAAACAAAAGAGCAGGCATTAAAAAAAGTTGTGGGGTCCCCCCAAAATCCACAGCAGGTCCTTCGGTCTGGTATGGATTTAAGGGGAACTCCGTGCCAAAAAAACCCTATAAAAAAGGCCTATATCCAAGCATGCCCCTACTGATTCACCAAAAAGCAAGTAAGTCCTCATGCACACTGGACGTTTTTACAGATGCTGTTTTTGGCTTTTGATGTTTTTTTCTACAGCCAGTAAACTTCCCAGCATGTTATCCTACGTGTCCATGCAGACTGTAATCAATGTTTTTTTAGCAGGAAAAAAAAAACCCCAGAACTAGTGGGTTTCTAGAAGAGGTTTTTAGCTGTAAAAATGTTCTAACGCTGTAAAACACCGCAAACTGGCATTTTTGGACTTTTTAGGACAAAAAAACTGCTAAAAAGCGCAGAAAAATGCCGCTAAACACGAATGCAAAAACGCTAAAAAACTCATGTTACCAGCGTTATCAAAACGCCCAGTGTGCATGGAGCCTTAAAAGTAAATAAAAAACACCAGAGAGGTTTGAATGACAGCACCGCTTCCCCCAGCCACTACGTAAGCAAAGGGGTGACTCCTGTTACAATGGCATCCCTCAAGGATCCTGCCACATGACATCACAGGGGGTGGAGGTCACCTGATGTCACTGGGTGACTCTGCCATATGACAACACATACCAAGGCAGTGTCACCCAGTGATGCCATCTTGTGACCCCATTCTAATGGCTTCAATAGGGTGGGGTCTCCAAGGGTTGGCATGTGTCACCATAGGGGCAGTCATCTAGTGACATCACTGGGTGACCTCCAGACCTCCACCCCCTATGATTCCATGGGCCAGGATCTCTGAGGGATGCCATTGGGGGGAGATCACCTGGTGATTTTAAACAAAAGAGCTGGAATTGAAAGAAAAAAAAAATGGTGTGAGGTCCCCCCAAAATCCATACCAGACCTATATCCAAGCATGTCCCTACCCATTTGCCTAAAAAAAAACAAACAAAACAAAAGCATGACAGGTTTTGGCAAGTCCTTGAATAAATAAAAATGTCTCCCGATGTTAACCCATCGTCAATTACACCAGTTGGTGACCCTCATGAAAAAAGAAAATCCACCACATGCCAAACACAACTGCTTGACACTAGCCGAATACCAGCGCCGCTTCTCCCTCCACCGCTAACAAACGAGTGGGGTTGCCCATTACATCACCAGGTGACCTCTTGCCCCACTGCCGTTCCTCAAAGATCCCACCCCATGGTATCATAGGGGAGCGAAGGTCACCACAGGATGACACATAGAAGCCCTCGAAGACCCCGCCCTATGAAGTCAAAAGGTGAGGTCTCCGAAAGCCGGCACGTGACGCCATAGGGGTATAGTCATCCAAAGATGCCACTGTGTGACCCTGCCCATAGGGTGGGGTCTCCGAGGGTCGGCGGTTGTCATCATGGGGAGAGAAGTCACATCACGTCACTCCATCTCCTATGTAATGCGTGAGGTCTCCAATAAATTACATGGTGATCTTACTGGGTGACCCTGCCCCTTTGTTTATTTCCCAGCAGAGGAAAGTTGCTTTGTATTGAGTGTCAAGCAATAAGAGGGAACACATCTGCATTTTTTTTTTTTTTTTTTTTTTTTTGTATGCAGGTCAGCAGATGCCGTTCATTGTGCTTGACAATTGATTACCATTGAGGGACTTTAAATAAAGGAGTCAAAAACTGTATTGTGTTTTTATTTCCCTTTGACTTTTTTGATGAATGAGTAGAGCTAATCCTACCATATTAAAGGGTATGTGGTCTGGTAGGGTTTTTTGGGGGGAGGGGGCACACCCGTTTGCTCCACTCCCCCCCTTCTAGGCTTGTCAGGCTGCATGCTCCAATAAAGACATGGTATTGTATGTCTTTTTTTCATGTGGGTTCCCTTTAAAATCCATACCAGACCGAAGGTATGGACTGGAGGGGGAACCCCAAGATTTTTTATGCTGGCTGACAGCAGGAATGAGTCACTGGTTGTTAGGTTACCAGTAGGTGCTGGCTCCTAACAACCAGCACAAGTCTCACACAAAATCGCATTAAAAATGCATGTAGATGTGAATTTTATGCGTTTCTATTGAAGTATATGGACCACAAAATCACACCAAAATCATGTTTCCTGAAGTCACGCTCCAGCTGTGCACTGTACTGATGTGAATGGGCACCATTGGAAGCAATGCTACTTCCATTATCATGCGATTCAGTGTTACCCAAGAAACATCTGAAATCGCATCAGTGTGATCCAGGCCTAAGATGATGGCTTTAAGCCCTTTTCAAAACAGCATAAAAACATATACAGTATGCAGCATCAAAAAAAGTGAACATTCTTTCTGGGCACCGCATACATGTGTTTCCTTGTGATTGACAGCAGACAGCAGTGGGCAGATACCACAGCCACTACATAGGCAGCTAATGGCTATGGAATATACCCACTGTTGTTCACAATCATAAAGAAGGCAGACCAGATGGGGAGCTAGTCTCTCAAGGTTCCCCATTAGGTCTGCCTTCCTCGTGACGGACAATGGACAGCAGTGGGTAAATTCCATAGTCAATATTGGGTTGTTTAAGGGCTATGGAATCTACCCACTGCTCTTAATCTAAATATAGGAAGACCTGATGGAGATTTCGTTTTTCAGTGTTCCCCATCAGACTCCATCCACCGCACAACAAATCGTCCTAGACCCCTGCAACCGTCTGTAACAGGTGCACTGGTTGAGCAAAGAGATTTGCAATGCCTCAGTGCTGGACAACTTCCATGACAGATTCAAGTACCTGTTCTTGACAGATACATAAACCTGTTGCAGGCACCTGACAATTTACATGGGGGCATGAGAGGATTCAAAGGAGTGCCTACAACATTCTCCCACTTCAAAAGATGAGAGAGGCCTGTAATTGGCATCATAGGT